CCCCAAGTGCACAAATTTTTGTGCACCGGGACTCTAGTAATAATATAAGCTTCTTCCTCAAGATTCTAGGAAAAGAAGCCCTTGGGGCTAGTCATACCTGCTGTACATAACAGAAACAAACTCAAAACTAGTCATATCTCCTGTGCCTAACAGAAACAAATGCAATACTATTCTGGATGGACTATGCCTCAGTCCATGCTGTATAATATTGTAGACAAAGCCCCATTGAAAATGAACCCACCGTCCAAAACTACACAAACAATATAATGAGTGTCCACTGAGTGGCAGTGTGGTGTGACCAGCATAGTGCAGGCTTTTTTTTATTGTTGTTGTTAATCCTCACCCAAGGATATTTTTCCATTGATTTTTAGAGAGAGTGGAAGGGAGGAGTAGAGACGGAGAGAAACATCGATGTAAGAGAGACACATCAATTGGTTGCTTCCCACAGCCAGGGCTGGGAATGAAGCCTGAAACCAAGGTACATGCCCTTGACCGGAATCAAACCCGGGACCCTTCAGTCTGTGGGCTGACACTCTATCCACTGAGCCAACTCAGCTAAGACTGTAGGCTTTTTTTTTTAAAATATATTTTTATTGATTTTTTACAGAAAAGAAGGGAGAGGGATAGAGAGTTAGAAACATCAATGAGAGAGATCGATCAGCTGCCTCCTGCCCACCCCCCAACGGGGATGTGCCCGCAACCATGGTACATGCCCTTGACCGGAATCGAACCCGGGACCCCTCAGTCTGCAGGCCGACACTCTATCCACTGAGCCAAACCAGTTCGGCAAGACTGTAGGCTTTTAATGCAGAGATACCAGGGTTCAAAACTGGCTGTGTCTAGCCAACATAACTACTGTAATCTTCAGTTTCGTCATCTGTAAGATGAAGATGACACTATATTCATCACGGTACTTTTGTAAGGGTTAAATGAGAATAAAAACATGCAAAAACTCCTGGTATATAGTACCCAATTTTTAATTTTTTCATTTTAATGAATTTCTCTTGGGATTTAGTTTCAGGAGAAAACAGTTTCTCCTTACCAACTTTGTGCTTTTTTTAATTAGCTAATTAGAGCTATTTAACACAAGGACTTTCCCTTTTGCCTTGACCAACAAGAAACTTAAAACTAAACCTTATTGTTTCATCATCCCTATGCCCCTTAAAAATTTGAAATATATGGATAATGAAGTGCAATACGTATCTCAATCCTGTGTCTTTTAAGCAACTTTAAACTCTTTTTTGGAGGAATTACAGTGTAAATAAGTAATGGAATGATGCCTTATAGTCATTTTCTCATTGTTTCAGACTTTGTCAAACTTCATTCAACTATCTCATCTCTGTTATTTTTGTTTAACCCAAGCTTGGAAATTTCTATTTGAAGAGTTCAAAAAGCAATATGACTCAGAATGATTCAATCTGTAACATTATGGTAGCAAAAGAGCTTACACTTTCAAAGTTCATGGATGCTGATGCCAGGTTATGGACCACGTGATGAGGAATGTACCAGTGGGTAGCAGAAGTGACAAACTCATCAATGATGTATTTTTTTTTTCCTCAGAGCAAAATAGAAGCTGCAGAGATAGTTAAGTACTTGGTGTTTGTGGGGAGCCGATATAGGGTTAAGCCTCGGACTGACCTGTTGGCAAAGTCACAAACAAGTCCCAGCTTAGAGGGCACAGCCCTCTTAGCATAATTAGGCTTGACCTTATGATGCTCCCTAGATCTTACCTGGGAAGCTAATGGGCTGAGGGAAGTGCAACAAGAACAAAAACAACTGAAACTCACAAGAACAGTGTAAACAAGTGAAACTCACAAGAACTGTGTAACTTTGGTAACCACTACCTCGTTTAACTCTGACTATAAAAATAAAGGCTCAGTTTGCCTTGGGATCTTTCTCTGTGGCCTCAGCCAGGCACAGGAAGATCCACGGAGACTAAAGAGAGCTAGAGAGTTCTGAACACTGTCTCCGTGTAAAACATTCTTTGCCGACTCCGTCCACACCTTTGGGAACCCCTGGACCACTGGGGCTGGACCCCAGCAGGTGTTCTCTTTCTCATTTTATAATGGTTCTTATTTTTTGTGGTTACTAAAAGCTAAGGATTAGTAATGGTGAGAATATCTCTTCTCTGAGTCCCTCACAAGTAGCTATTCTTCACCATAAAGACAGATAAGCAAAGACAACCAGAATGTACTTCTTAGAACAGTGTATATCTGCTTTAAGAACTATTGCTGAATTGTCTGCTTAGTTTGCCCTTAGGGTTAATAATGGGTTAGTTGAGCCTTTATGTAGAAAGAGTTGGGCAAATAGAGTACCAGACATATTGTGGATACTCAATAAAATACTATGGCTGTGAAACTCGCAAGAAAGAAAGCCAAGAGATGCATGCTGGCTTGAATTACAACAGGGTATTACACTTCATCCTGAGATCTCCTGGATCTCAGTAAGACTAGACAGACTCTCTTTGATTCTGAACAAGAAAAAAAAAATTTTTTTTAAACCACATTCTTCTTCCTAATACTCTTCCTCCATTTCAACTCAGATTTTTTTTTTCTCTCTCCCTCTCTAAAGTCTAGACTAACTATGGCAGAGTCTGCAAAGTACTGTATTTGTTTAACTCACTGGGTGGCCTAACAATGCCCACTCCTGGGACACATAAAGATAAAGGGTCCACCAGTCCAGACCATTTCTTGACAATTTCTTGGAGGAAAATGAGCAAAATACAAATCAAAAGAACATCTGAAAATCCATCCTGTATAATAGAAAGCAAGAGATCTATAACTAAAGCAAGTTGTTAGTTGGTGGATTCACTATGAACAATTTGGCTACATCTGGTAAAATTAGAGAAAGTATGGTGAGAATTCACATGTGTTGGAAATCCCAGCAGATCAAAGACTCTTAGCTTAACTCTTTCCTAGAAGTAGATCTAAAAACATCTGCCACTCCCCGCCCCCCCACCCACCTCAAATGTCTTCCTCTCTAAATGTGCATGTTACGTTGAAAGGAGGAATTCCAAGAGCAGAATATAATCATCTAACTTTTGGAGATGAAGGCTTTAGCAAAATTATTTTACTAGATAAATAATGCAGTTATCACATTACAAAAAATTTTTGGCCCATGGTCAAAAAGCAACCACGGGTTTAAAAATCATTTAGTAAACGTCAAATATTTCCTTTGGTTATTCCTATTCATAGACAATAATCAGCTTCATTCTTTAAATTTGGATCAAAAAAGTCTGTTTCCACACAGCCAAGACAAATGTCCTTGTTGGTTTGGAAAGGGCTTTCCTAGGACAAATGCTGTTAAACTGGTAGGCCCCCGCCAACTACACAAGCATTTTTTCTTGAAGTAAAGTCTTGTTCTCTGGTCTTCTCCTATGGTGTTCCTTCAGAGACACCCAGGGATTAGAGACCTAAATGAGAAAAAAAAAAAAAAACTTTATATAGGAAAATATTTTTATATCAAGATTGGAAAGAATTTCTTCTCTATATATTTTATGCTTTTTATTATGGGAAAATTTTAACATATACAGAATTAGATAGAATAGTATAATGAACCCCCATTGTACCTATTGCTCAGCTTTGACAATTACCAACTCATGGCCAATCTTGCACCAGCAACTCCCTCCCCACATTATTTTGAGGAAAATTTCACGCATTACACTATTTCATCTGTAAATATTTGAAACTGTATCTCTAAAAGAAAAGGGACTCTACCCAAAAAAGACCTTAATATCATTATTACACTAAAAAAACTTTTATACTAATTACTTGAGCTGGTCAAATTGCTGGTCAGGAAGGATTTCTTGAAAGAAAGGAAGAAGTCTCTTGGAAAAGGAGGGAGAAGAAGCCAAGGAGAAGGAAAGAAAGAAAGGGAGGGAGGAAGGGAAGGAGTAAATAAGACAAACCATAAATATAAAGCAAAAGGCACAGCTCTAAAGGAATAACTTGATGCATTCTACCACATAATTTTTTAACTTATTTATTTGAGATACCATAAACAAAATTAACAAATAGTCCAGAGAATGGAAGAAGATATTTGCAATGCATATAACAGACAAATGGTTGTTATACTGAATATATAAAGAACTACACAAATAAGGAAAAGAAAAATAATCCTAAGAAAATTTTATAAAGTATGTGAACTGGCATAGCTAAGGATGGTCAATAGCACCAGTAATCAGGGAAGTGCAAATTAAAATCATAGTGAAATACCAGTTCACACAGTCAAACTGGTAAATATTAGAGTCAGACATATACTAGTGTTGGCAAAGACGTGATCAATGGGGACACATCCACCACTGGTATGAGAATAAATTCCCCTAATCTATATCAGGGACCCCTGTTATTTTCTTCATAAAGACAGGGACCATAAGCTTGAAAATACTGGATTTGATAGAAACAAGAGAAAAGAAAATTGATAATGGTAGATGCCATTATCAAAATTTTTTGAAAATGTACAGAAAAGGGAATCACAGAGTGAAGAGTTTGTCGTTGCTGTGGACTAACAATGGACACTCAGAAGGACATCCAACCCCAAAAACAGCAGCCAATGATATATATCTGTGGAGAATGTCATACAGGAAATGAAATTAAATCCAGGGATACAATCAGATACAGAGAATGTAGATACAGAATAATGTGCAAGAAAAGGACTAAAAGATTGGTGGTTTTTGATGCTCAGTGAAATATGGAATTCAAAAGAATATCTTTGTTATCATTTAGACTTGCTGTAATTGTATAACTTTTGATTAGTGTACTTATCTTTATTAACACAACTATATACACATGATTTCATTTTTAAAACAATATTGTATTTAGGTATCTATTAATAGTTTATAGCCTGGCTGGCATGGCTCAGCAGTTGAGCATTGACCTATGAACCAGGAGGTCACGGTTCGATTCTCAGTCAGGGCACATGCTCGGGTTATAGGCTCAACCCCAGTAGGCGGCGTGCAGGAGGCAGCTGATAAATGATTCTCTCTCATCATTGATGTTTCTGTCTCTCGCCCTCTCTCTTCCTCTCTGAAATCAATAAGAAATATTTTTTTTAAAAAATAGGTTATATAAAGAAATTATTTTTTGTTCAATTACATGATATGTAATTTAATGTTATTGTATATGTCATGTCACGATGAAGGTCAAAAGTGCTTCCCCAAACCACACTTTTAATGAAAACCTAAAATCACTGGGGCCTTTGTTAAAAAAAATGTTTTCACCCTGGCTGGTTTTTCTCAGTGGTCAGAGCCAAATATACCTCTGTTGCAGGCTCCAGCCCCGACCCCAGTCAGGGCAAATGCAGGAGGCAACCAATCGATGCTTTCTCATATCTATGTTTCCCTTTCTCTGTCTTTCCCCCATCCCTTTCACTCTCTGTAAAAAAGAAAAATCAATGGGAAAAAATATCCTCAGGTGAGGATTAACAAAACAAAAAATTAAATAATAAAGTTTTCTAGGCCGGCCAGTGTGCTTAGTGGTTGAGTGGTGGCCCATGATCCAGGAGGTCACGCTTTGATTCCTCATCAGTGCACATACCTGGGTTTCAGGCTTGATCCCCAGTAGGATGTGTGCAGGAGGTGGCCAATCGATGTTTCTCATCGATGTTTCTAGCTATACCTCTCCCTTCCTCTCTCCAAAAAATCACTAAAATACATTTTTAGAAAATGAAATAAAATAAAGTGTTCTAGGGCTCTCTATAAAAAAAAAGCACAGAAAAAATTTTAATGTACAGAAATTTTTTTTAATTATGTACAGAAAACTAATACAAAAATCAAATCTTTGGCCCTAGCAGGTTTGGCTCAGTGGACAGAGCATTGGTCTGTGGACTGAAGAATCATGGGTTTGAATCTGGTCAAGCGCACATGCCCGGGTTGCTGGCTCAAGCCCCAGGAGAGGGTGTGTAGGAGGCAGCCGATCAATGATTCTCTCTCATCATTGATGTTTCTATCTCTCTCTCTCTCCCCTCTCCCTTCCTCTCTGAAATCAATAAAAATATATATATTTTTTAAATCAAATCTTAGTTGTAACATTCACAAGGTAAAAAACGCGTACTACTAAAACTAGTTTTGGCAAATCAAAAAAGAAAATGGAGATTAAAAATGGCGGCAGAGTAAGTGGATGCTGCACGCACGCACTCCCAGAAACAAACTGGAATTACAACTAAAATACAGAAAAATTTCCTGAATAATCAACAGAACACTTGCAGGAGAGTACCCTGATACCCAAGGACCAAAAGTGGAGTCTGCATAGAGACTGGTAGGAGAGGCAGAGGCACAAAAGGGCTGGCCAGGCACCCACAGATGGTAACTGAGGTTCCAGGAAGATATCTCAGCTGTGGGGGTGGCCACTGAAAACTCTGGGGTCTAATCCCCAAGCTGGGCCCCCCCCAGCAGAGAGCACCACAACTGAGAAGAGTACCCACATAACACATGGCTGTAAAAAGCAGCAGGAGTGCTGTCTGCCAGAGAACAAAGGCTGGAAATTCAGGTATCCTCTTAAAGGGCCAACACACAAAATTCCCTGTGGAGCCACCCACCTTGTGCTCCGGCAGAGGGAGGATGGAGTGGACTGCAACTGTGTGAGCAGAAGCCAAGATTGGGACTCAGGAGTTAGAGCTCAGAAGGCAGACACCCCCACTTTCCTGTGCTGAGTCATTCCCTCACACTGAGAAGGTCATCTTTCCCACACAGACATCTTTCCCACACTTCCCTCAAGGGGAAGACAGTTGACCAACACTATTGTAAAACACCTTGCCTTGAGGCTACTTAAGAGACTAAAAATAACAATTAACCTCCAGGCAGAAGCAACTGCCCCATCCTGTTTTAAAAAAACTCTGGCCACAACTGAGGACAATTTCCTGGGGGCAATTCAAGTCGGAATCCTAATAATCTGTAATCAGAGGCGGTCTCTGGAGGCTGTGAGTCTTTGCCTGATCTAATTAGTCAGAAACAGCATTTGACACTATCCTCTACTAGAGATTGAGAGACATAGAGGATCTGCCTAATACATAGTCACAAACCCAAACAGACAGCCAAAATGAGGAGACAAAGAAACAAACCCCAAATGAAAGAACAAGAGATTTCTCCAGCAGAAAAGATAAATGAAGCAGAGATAACAGAGTTCAGAGTAATAATGGTAAAGATGCTCAACTGCATAAATAAAGATATAGTAACTATGAAAAAACAACAGTTGGAAATAAAGAATGACATCCTATATAATAAAAGAGAAACATGCAAATTAGCAGTCCCTCTGCTATGCTCAAGCCATGCCCACCAGCCAATCGGCATGATATGCAAATTAACCTAACACAGGTGGCGGTGGCCATGGAGCTGAAGGCTTGGGTTGCCCCCGGTGACCGACAGAGGAAGCCAAGTTTCCCGCCTGCCCTGGCCTCCGCTGAAGGAGTGGCTGGGGGCCTGGGTCGCCGGGAGTGGGGTGGAAACTATGCAGCCAGGAGCAGGAACTTCCCGGGGCAGGCGCCAGGCAGCTGGGAGCAGGGCGGGAACTACGCAGCCGGGAGTGGGGCGCTGGGCAGTCAGGAGCAGGGCAGGAACTTCCCGGGGCGGGCGCCAGGCAGCCAGGAGCGGGGCGGGAACTTCTGCCGCATCGCCATGGCAACGTGGCAGAAGTTCCCGCCCCATAGCCGCTTGCTCATTCACTTACTCGCACATTCATTCACTCATTCACTTACTCACTCACTCATTTATTCACTCACTCACTCACTCGGTCAGCAAACACTCCCAGGTCCCTGGCACCAGGCCAGGCACTGAAGGTGAAACAGGATAAGACAGAGCTATGTCCTCAAGATGTTAGTAATTCAGTAGGGCGAAGCAGGCACATGAACGAGGCAGTTGTATGCACAGACGCACTGTACTGGGTTCGGTGAGGGCTGTAACTAACGCCGACTTTGTTCTCTTGATAAGATGGGGCCTCAGGAGCCAGGCCGCCCCAAGCCTGTAGGCCTGCGCCTAGGCCCGGAGTGGCCAGGGTCCCGGAACATGACAGAGGGTGCAGGTCGGGCTAAGGGATCTGCCTCCCCACCCCCGTGCATGAATTTCGTGCACCAGGCCCCTAGTAGTACAAATAAAGAACACATTGGAAGGAATACACAGCAGATTAGGGGAAGCTGAGGATCGAATCAGTGAATTAGAAGACAGGGTTGAAAAAATCACTCAATCAGAGAACCAAAAAGAAAAAACAATGAAAAAACAGGAGGACAGCTTAAGGGAGCTATGGGACAATGTGAAACAATATTAGAATAGCAGATGTACCAGAAGAGGCAGGAAGGGAGAGAGGGATAGACAACGTGTTTAAAGAAAAAATGGCAGAAAACTTCCCTAACTGGTAAAGAAAAAAGTCAAACAAGTTCAGGAGGCACAGAGAACCCCAAACAAGAAGAATCCAAACAGGCCCACGCCCAGACACATCATAATTAAAACGCCAAAAAGTAAGGACAAAGAGAGAATATTAAAGGCAGCAAGAGAAAAGCAAACTGTCACCTACAAAGGAGTTCCCATAAGGTTGACATCTGATTTCTCATCAGAAACTCTACAGACCAGAAGGGAATGGCATGAAGTACTCAAGGATCTGAAATTAAGGATCTGAAACCAAGATTACTATCCAGCAAGGCTATCATTCAAAATAGACGGTCAAATAAAGAGCTTCCCAGACAAAAAATGGCTAAAGGAGTACATCACCACCAAGCCAGCATTATAAGAAATGCTAAAAGGACTGCTGTAATAAGAAGAAACAGAGAGAAACCTAGGCATACAGAATTAAAATGGCAATAAATAAGTACCTATCATTAATAACCTTAAATGTAAATGGATTAAATGCTCCAATCAAAAGGCATAAGGTAGCTGAATGGATACAAAAACATGACCCAACTATATGCTGTCTACAAGAGACCCACCTCAAAACAAAAGACACGCACAGAATGAGAGTGAAGGGATGGAAAAAAAATTTCCATGCAAATGGAAAAGAAAAAAAGCTGGAGTAGCAATACTCATATCCGACAAAATAAACTTCAAAATGAAGGCCATCACAAGAGACAACAAAGTTCACTACATAATACTAAAGGGATCAATCCAACAAGAGGATATAACCCTGGAAGGGAAGGAGGAATGTGGAGTGAATGCTGATGGATATGGGATGTTCTTTTGGGAGTGATAAAATATTCTAAAATTGGTAATGGTTGCATAATTGTGAATATCCTAAAAATATTGAATGGTACACTTTAAAGGGGTGACTTTCATGGTATGTGAATAATATCTCAATATAGCTATTATTAAAAATACACATTTGAAAAATCTTGACTGGCCTTCTCTTATTCATGTCTGTTAACACATATTTTTCATGTTACATTTTCCATGTCTGTATAATTTCTGTCTATGATTTAAAACCCTACATCTTTTGTAATAAAGCACGCTAAACAAAGGATTTCCACCTTAAATAAATTACTAGGAGGTTGCTTTTCTCAGATGCTGTTTTTGTATATGGTTTGTATAATTTAGGTAACCAGCTGCTACTTATTATCATGATTGAATTAATATCACAGGTAACTGATAGTGGATCTGATAAATGTGTCTGTGAGCTAATGAATTGAAACAGGTATTTATAAATATAGAATTTGAAACTATTTAAACTACATTTCACTATTTACTCCATGTCACTGCTGCTATCCTCTAGCTTATTACCTCTTCACGTGACACAGACTGCTAAATTCCTTTATTGTGAGGTCATATTCTTAAATTAAAAAGCATTAGAGATGAGACATGTAAAACCTAAAATGAGTTTTGTGGCTCAGAGAGTGAGTCACAGAATTAGACTTCAACACATCTCCCATTACATTTCTTTCTTTTTATTAGAGAGGTGTTTTTTTTATTATTATTATTCTAGAGAGAGAGAAGAATCGAGAGAGAGAGAGAGAGAGAGAGAGAGAGAGAGAAACATTGATTTGTGGTTGCTTCCTGTACGTGCCCTGACTGGGGATCTTACCCGAAACCTTGGTGCATAGGGAGGACACTCTAACCAACGGAGCTACCCAGCCAGGGCCCATTACATTTATTTCCTAGTTATAAGCTCAAATTTGAATTTAGAAAAGTACACGATGTGACTCCTTACCAGTCTTTTAGCTCGGGCGTGGGGTAGGAGGGATGTGTCAGAATAAAGGAGGCACGTGGGTAGAAAGGTACATTTTGAAGTTGTGAGTGTCTTCATGCTTACATTTGTCTTTGTCAGGAAGTGGCTGTGGGAGCTGAGAGTGATGTGTCTTGACAAGGAGTGGGGCTCAAACAGAATTTTTCTGCATAACCTTCCAAATGCATTGTTTTAGATAGCACCTGAAAAAATGATCTTGAACTTTTACATGCCACGGAACTCTATCAAGATCGTTTCTCGGGAGAATATGCATTAGGAGGTGTTCACTTTTCCAATTTTCTAAGGACTCTTGAGTAAACTAACTTTAGCTGAGTCTTACAAATCAATACAATGAGGCTTGGGATGCTACATGACTGTTGCCTGTAAGAGTAAAAGCATGCTCTCACCTTCATTCACTCTGCACTGGTGGTAACAACAGCTCTTGGGTTCCTATTCCTGTGCTGGAAGCTTTACATACACTATCTCACTTGATCCTCACCATGATCCCAAGAGGGAAAAGGTAACATAATCCATTTTATACACGAGAATAAACCCTTAGCGCAGTTAAGTAAATGACACTACTGTGTCAGAGCTGAGATTCCATTCAGATCCAGCCTCTTTTTTATTTTTTCAATTGATTTCAGAAAGGAAAGGAGAGGGAGAGAGAGACAGAAACATCAATAATGAGAGAGAATCATTGATCCGCTGCCTCCTGCACGCCCCCACTGGAGAGCAACCCAAGCACGTGCTCTGACCCCTACCCAGGAATCGAACTGTGGCTTCCTGGTTCGTAAGTCCATGCTCAACCACTGAGTTATGGCAGCCAGACTAGAGCCATCCTCTTTGAGGTTACTCTCATTTGGTTCCTAATGGTTGTTTCTCACTGCCATCCCTGTGTCCAGCAATGGGAAAATTAGAGCTCAGATGTGTGTTCTAGTACTGAATTGTTCAGGATCATACCTGTTCATTGTGTTTGGGCTTGAAATTGCTAAAGAGAACATCTGTGGTGTGGTAGGAAAAATAATGGCCCCCAAAAGATGTCCCTATCCTAAACCCCAGAACCCAGAACATAAGGATTAATATAATGATTTTGAGATGAGATATTTAGAATTACCCAGGGGTCCCAACCAATCACAGTAGTCGTTAAAAGTGGAGGAGGGAGGCAGGAGAGAGTCAGAGACAGGATGACTAAAGCAGATGTGAGGGTGGCGCAATTGCTGTCTGGGAGCCACAAACCAAGGTACATGGCAGCCTCTAAGCTGGAAAAGGCAAGAAAACAGATTCTCCTCTACCGTCTCCAAAAGCAACGAAGTGCTGCCAATAGTCTTGATTTTAGCCCCATAAGAATCATTTCTGACTGCTGGCCTCCAAAATTGTAAGACAATAAGTTTGTGTTGTTTTTAAGCCATAAATGTGTTATAGCAGCCACAGGAAACTAATATAGATGATATTTAACATTCAGATCCTTCCACGACACAGGGGCCAAAATTCATGCAGCAATGCTTCATAATGCTGTCCCTTTACCACGTAAGCGGTGGTAGGTGTTATAAATAACAGGTATGAAGAGAAGGAGTTGCTACTGCCCCTGAGGTTCTAAGGGCCGGCCTCACAATCTTCAGGAGCTTCCTTTTTGTTCTCTTAACAGCACTGAAGCATCTTAAATTCATTACTTCATCATCTATTGAGCACCTACTATGTTCCAGGTTCCAGAAATTCAAAGATGAGTAGGACTCAGATTCATAAGGAGCTTGCAGTCTAGTAGGGTGGCAGAACACATAAACAAGTTATTTCAAGGCAACAAGATATCTGCAAAGACAAAAATATCTTTAAGAAAAGAATCCTAGAGCATGGGAGATGAACTCTGCTTAGGGAAGGTGAAAGGAGCAGGGAGGTTTGGAGAGGGGTTGATGTCACAACTGGGGGTGTCTAACATCTTCGGAATCCCCAGCTTTGGTGGGAGAGGTTCTGACACCTAATCTAGGGGACCCCAGATCTAGTTTCTGTGAGGGCTGTGGCCTCTGTGGAATCTCTTTGCTGCAAATTTAAAGGCTGAGAAGAGAGGGAGTCCCTGAGAGGAAGAGTACAGGAAGGAGAATTGCTGATACCGACACATAGCAGATGCTTGGAGCCATTCTCCATGATTTCCATGGAATTTCAAAAGAGAGAAAGAGCCTTGCTGGTGTGGCTCAGTGGTTGAGCATCGACCTAAGAATCAGGAGGTTGGAGTTGGATTCCAGATCAGGGCACGTGCCCACGTTGTGGGCTTGATCTCCAGTGGTGGGAGGGAGGGGGGGTGTATGTGCAGGAGGCAGCTGATCAATGGTTCTCTCATCATTGATGTTTCTATCTCTGCCTCTCTTTTCCACTCTGAAATCAATAAAAAAAAAATATATTTTTTTAAAAAGAGAGAAAGAAAGTGAAAGGTTTCATAAACTATAATGTACCAGCTATATGTTAAAGTATTATTATCTACTTGCTTGGGATTCATGCTTAGATATTGGGAAATTTCTTCTCAATTTTTTGTCTCTAAACTAAGTCATTCTTCCTCTTAAGAAAATAAACACAACAATGGACATAAAAACTAGATCTAGGTTTCCTGAGCAATACTTAAGCATGCTCCATTTAAAATATGTTGATTTTGGATACAAGAATTTATCATTTTGTACAGACTAGCACATAACCCCTTCTCATTATGATTTTCTATCCCTAAACTTATTTAATCCTGAGAAGGTATGCCCACTATTTCCTGAGAAACGCTGATATAGTAGGAAACTGAACTTTAAAGCTGGAAAGTACTTTAAAGATCATTTAATCAGAACTTGTTTTACAGATGAAGCATCTAAGGTCTGCAGGGGTGGAAAGCCCACGGAGGTGACAGAGATGGGGCAGTGCCAACATTAATACCCAAATCCCTCCAACTCCCAGCCCCAAGGACACTGCACTGCTGGCTTATTTTCCTTCAAGGTTTATCTGGACTTACTATTTTGTTCCCAACATTTTTAGGCAGTAAAAATTCTACCTTTTTAAGTGCAAGTCTTTTTTCACAAAATAAGTTTCACTACTGATCAGGGTTTTAAATTCATTTAACCGATTTTACAAGTGAAGAAAGTAAAGTAGAAATTGTACATGTTAAGGAGAAAGGTAGCATAAATCAGCCCAAAGTAATTAAATACGTAAAGTGTTTAAAAACATTTTCATTATAAACTCATGAGTTCATTTAAATCAGGGTTCCTCAAACTTTTTAAACAGGGGGCCAGTTCACTGTCCCTCAGACCGTTGGAGGGCCGGACTATAGTTTAAAAAAATAGTATGAACAAATTCCTATGCACACTGCACATATCTTATTTTGAAGTAAAAAAACAAAACGGGAACAAATCCAATATTTGTATTTGCATGTGGCCCGCGGGCCGTAGTTTGAGGACCCCTGACTTAAATACTTATGAACATTGTCCTCAAAGTATACAGTGGCATTTTTTTCTATGACAAATGGCATCCTTGTTAAACAGTGAAAAGGTTGGTTAGAGAAGAGCCTTGGCTGTTCCACAAGCTGGAAGGTGATTGCCAAGAACAGGGAGCAATCTCTACTCTTGGGCCCACTGGGTGACCTGCGGGGGCGTCAGGGCGGGGGCTTGTAGGAAGGCCTCCTAGCAGAGCTCCATCCACTCCTACCAGGTCTGACACAGAAAAGGCTATCCCCAAGGGATGCTACGGCCAATGTTCCCCTATCATTTCAACCACAGACTTTAGACAGTGATTTTCCACCTGTTTATCATTTTGTTTTTTCCGGAGTCAATCAACTGGGTAATCCCTAGAGCAGTGGTTCTCAACCTGTGGGTCGCCACACCTTTGGGGGTCGAAAGACCCTTTCACAGGGGTCACCTAAGACCATCGGAAAACACATATAATTACATATTGTTTTTGTGATTAATCACTATGCTTTAATTATGTTCAATTTTAACAATGAAAATACATCCTGCATATCAGATATTTACATGACGATTCATAACAGCAGCAAAATTACAGTTATGAAGTAGCAACGAAAATGATTTTATGGTTGGGGGTCACCACAACATGAGGAACTGTATTAAAGGGTCGCGGCATTAGGAAGGTTGAGAACCACTGCTTCAGACAGTGATTTTCCACCTGTTTATCATGTGTTTTCCGGAGTCATTGGATCAGCTGGGTAACCCCTAGTGTTTCCCTCATCTAACTGGAGGAAGGGGATCTGACAAGTCACCCCGTCTCGCATGGGGGGCTTTCCAAAATGACTCCAAGGGTTGGAATCCAGCCCCTTCGCAGGGAAACCCCCGGCGGAGAGAAGCCTCCTCCGAGCGTCACCGCCTCACGCGCACCCGACCGAGCGCAGCGCCCCGCGGAGGCAGCGCGGAGACGCCCCTCGTGAGCCGCGCCGCCTGGCGGTACCCGGGAAGGAGGCGGCTCCGGGAGCAGGCCCGCCGGTGCGCGGC